GTGAACAGTTCCGGGCATTCGAATGCCCGGAACTGTTCACCACTCGATAGGAAAAGTTGCAGAACCGGTGCTTTCTCTCTCTCTCTCTTCACATCCGTATTGGGTCATATTCCATTTTAGCCATATTCTACTTGCGCGACCTCAACCACACGAGATCAATTCGCACGTCTGTTACCCGTATTGAATCGACTCGAACAGATGTGTCAGACGCGATCAGACATTCTAAACGCTTCGCAACGTGAATTGGTCCACTGTCTCCGTGTTCTGGTGGCCACACGCGGTGCAGTCAAGCTCGATTCCGAGATCCGCGTCACCGATAAAGCCAACCCACTCGTGGACGACTCTCTGTGAGTAGTTCTACTTTGCCATCCCTTGATGCCCATAAGTGTTCACCGAAGACGAGTAGTTTCGTTCGTGTAACCTAAATCCATGTTCCCTAACGGTTGATTTTTTTCTTCCAACGGAATATGTGTCGCGGGTCGCAGTTCCACAGTCTGTCCCAGATTAAAGGTATTGGTTGTATTTCCTGTGCGGTTCATACTCTTCAGATGTAATATATATATAATAATAATAATAGATAAAGAAAATTACATTTAATCACAATCATTCAGCACAAAAAAGAAGTAAGTAGACGACATGGAGACGAGCCTTGAAGAATAAACATACAAAGTGATTGGGTAGTTTAGGTGTACGTATCTTCCATTTTCCAGTTTGGTGTCTAGTCTACTCTGTAACTGGTCGGTTGGAGTCACCGGAGAACATGGAAGCGTACTGACAGAAGGACTTTCCTTGTTTGTCACTTCTTATTAGGTCAGAATGACTAAAACGTGGTGTATGTATCGTTGGTCTGTGACCCTTGCGCGTTGACCACCGGTGGTTCACTTTCTCTCTCCCTCCCCCTGGTAACAGGTCTTCTCCTCATCCACCTTACGCACTTCAACTTACCTTGTGCATACTGTGCGGTTGACAGTGAAGTTCGCTTCATGATGAGGATTATGATGACAAAGAGCAGTAGTTAGTTATGCCGTTGTTGTTGTTGTTGTCAAGACTCGTTAGAAATGCATACTATTCTCGTAACCCTGTCCGGCTTGGAGTGGCGAACTTTCGGGTTGGGAGCGAAAATTTTTGACCTTGAGATACTAGGTTGAAAGGATTGACATTTTGAACACATGGCTAAAGGACAATTTTGTGGGAATGCTGAAAAAGAGCAAATGAATGGGGGCAGGAATCACTTTACTCTCCCAGAGTGAAATCCGTATAGAACAACACAGTAAAACGTTCTGTTTATTTTACTTTTGAATTTATTCCACACTATAGGAGAATGTCTCGTTCATACTTGGATTTCGGCGAAAAAATCTTCCCTTGCAACGAGTTTGATGGGGTTAGAAGCATCTAATCAATGACAGTTTACTGCAGAATAATGCATGGTGATTTTTCGACGCATTCACTTCTTAAAACTTCCTCTCGTTGTGCTATATCGGTGGATATTTTACCGGAAAGATGATAATATACTATGATTAGTTCCAGTCCTCGAGCTGGGACTTTTTTGAGATGTGACACTCAACACTTTTTGACCACTTGGGGGTGGGGGTATACAGATTACACCCCGTTCGTGTAGGACGAAGACGCAAGACCATGTAAGTTACCGCAGGAACCATGCTGATGCCAAGTGGTGTAGGACTTTGAGAATCAAATGCGAATTATAACCTTGGACGTAATAATTTTAGAAATATATTGGTGTTTGTGTACTGTTAGTAGTCTCTCAGATGATACACACAACACAGGCCACTCCGTTACAACCGTCCGTAAGTATTGTCATCATCGCTGCTCCCTGCGCGCCACACGCTTGGTTATTCGTTGATTGTATCGAAATGAAAATGTACGCTGTGTGTTGAGCGAGAAACCCATTGCACGCTAAATGTTCAATCGGACTTTGGTGCACGTTGGGTTCCCGAAATAGTCCGTGTTGTGTGTAAAACATCTGAAGAACCTGTCTGATTAATTTTTGGTGATGGCACTGGTCCGCCTTCGGTTTTTTATTTATCGAGTCAGGGACGTGGTATTTTGGTCAACTGTTTTTATTGGTCATCCTTCAAATTTCATTTTTATTAAACACTCCTTAGTTCATCCATTCAGTGATATTATTTGGAAAGCGCTGAGTTTCAATCCCACCCTCAGTGATGGTGATGGTGCTTGTTCACGGGAATCCGAAACCCTCCTATATGTGTTTGCATTATTACGTTTGTGTCTACCAGTGAACCAATCGAATTGTGACACCATAATGTCTACACAAAACTCGTGACTCTCATTGTGTTCCTGTTTGCTTGTTTTGTTTTTTTGAAGTTCCGTTTCAAGGTCGTGTGTATCATCTAAGGTCATCTCCCCCCTCTCACTCCTGGATTGCTGTTTTTCGTCCATCTCGACACACACGTATACACATGATCCGATGCATTCGGACTAAATCATTCTCAGTTCACATAGTTCATCTTTCCGAGTAATCTTGGTCGATCGTTGTGGAAACTCGGTAGCTATCGTCGTCCACATTGTCGTTGCTCCAATACACAAACACACACACAGTCCCATATCCGCTAATAATCGTAAATGTTCACACTCTCTTCTCGTTCGATTTTCGAACCGATCCGGCAGGCAAATATGCATTATTGTGTGATTTACTTCATTGCATTTTCGTTTGTGCTCATCAAATCCCGGCCTCATACCCCCCGGTAGTCCTCGCGTGCGCACTTCTGAATCCACGATAGACTATGAGTCATCGCGAGGACGAAGGGGGACGGTGACTAGGAAATTGCCATCCTCTCTCTCTCTCTCTCCTGAACGACAGACTGATGCACAACCAGGGCGGAAATTTACAAGCACGGATACATGCATTGTGTATGTGAAACCATTTTCAACCATGGTTACGATCAGACTTTTCATTCCAACGATATCCGACATTCACTATATCCACTTGGTGATGAGCACACGAGAAACCGATTTGCTCAGCGTCTTATTCACACCTGCCGGGGTTGTGGGCCGGTCGACACCACCCCACCCGTACCCCCGTTTTCTGATCTATCTTGCTTCACCTTTTGTACAGTACCTGATCAGTTCTGTATCTTTTGCTTTATCTGCTACTTGAGGACGCGCCAGGGAACGAACTTTGCTTCTGGCACAATAGTTGTTTCACGAGGAAGAAACCCACTCGTAATTAGTTTGGTTTGCAATACTATGAGCATGTTCAAAGCGGTTTGTACACATTTGCCCAACCTGTTTCTCATCCGGGGGTTGTTCCTACTTTCTGATATCCATTAGTTACCTCTCTCTCTCTTTCTCTGTCTCTCGTCAATCCGGTTATGGTTTTTCTACTGTCTGATTTTGGCGTCAGCAATTGCCACAACAATGCCCCTGGTGATCGATGCATATCGATAATTTACTGTATTGTATTTTTTAGAATTCCCAGTCCAGAATGAAATGGAAATGTTTCGCCTATCTGGTTGAGATTTGAAACCGTGCTCTCACAACTTTATCGGTTCTACTTGATTAAGATAATCCATCTGTGGAATTGGGATTAAACAATTGTGAATACTAACTCTCCCTTTCTGTGTGAATACATTGCTACACCTACACCTATAACTACACACATTAACTGTTACTCCCTATGAGTAACTTAATCTTCAAATCCCAAACTGCTCATTTCTTATGTTGAATCGAGAAACTATAATCAAAACTGAAGTGAAACGCCCTTCTCAGTAACCAGTGAAATTCCCGGTGAATTGTGAGTTCATACGTCAGACTATACACCTGCCTATACATGATTGATAGTTGCCCCTACTCGTAAACTATTGAGCTTGCAAAAATAGTGATATTACTCATACGAGATCAGTGCGTGCGTCATGTGTGAGAGATCACCTTCTCTCGCGGTATCGAATGAAATTGAAACAATACCACTACGACTCAGCGCGCGCGCGCGAGAGAGAGAGGGAAAGTGAGGAGTGAGTTATCACGTGTTCCGAGGCGAGCGCCAATTTCCACCCGCCTCATCTTCATGGTGATTAGTACTATATCGCAATTTGGTTGCTGTGTTTACCGCTGGCATTTGCTGGTTTCATTTGGTCGGGGAACCTATGATTCCCTCATGGATTGAGCAATCACTCAGACGAAATAGCACAGGTAATGCGAAAGCATTCAAATTGATGATTTCGGAGCCGTTCTGATGATGCCCTGGCTCGTTTGACCGACGTCATTCGTGCTAGCGCAAGCCGTAAAGACATTAATTACCGAACCGGTTGCACAACTTTCAAACGTTCGGAAGACCAGATCGATTTGACTACATGGTATGAGCACATTCGTCTTGCTTCGTTTGAATTACCCGAGTCGGGGATACTAGAGAGAACCATTTCTATCAGCAACCTGTCTCTCAAAACAATCCGGCCGAACTGTCGCATGCGAAAAAACGCGTGAGCGTTACTCCAGCTCCTTTCAAACACCTCGGTTCACTGGTTTGGTCACACTCATCATCATCATCGTCAAATCGTTTGTCTCGCACCCCAACTAGCCTGCCAGTCAGTCGATGATCTGGGCTAAATTCGGCCCACGCGGAAATCATGTTCAAAGTGCTCAAGTGGATATCACTCTGCAATGACATCCCATACGAGCGTGCATCCTATTCAACTCTATGTTCACATCTCTGTCAAAATGAGTTGTTCGCACGAAGTGTCCGATCGTTGGCGTCTATCTAACATGACTATCTGTCCGTCTAACTGGTCAACGAATTAATAATCGTGCATCCTGTATGCTTTCTGGTTTATCCTGATCCACACGTTTCTGAGAACACAGTGTAAGCAGGAGTCTGCCATTCCCATGGCAACGAACCGTTTGGTATTTTAGCACAACAATTCGAATATATTTTGGACGTTTTGTTATTGCTGTTAATCAGTGTTTGTTCAAATATCTTTGAGGATTAAGTTTACTGAACAGTAATTCTTTCTCTGCTATTTTTTTCAAAATAGTCAGTCAGACATCAGGAATGAATGATTTGCGATCCGATCTTGAGAATTCAGTGATCTGTGAATTGGAACTTTAGACAAAAACAATTAGTTCTCTCGCTCGAAATAGCAAAATACTCAACTGTTCAGTCTGAACGATTTCTTAACAAATGCCTTCCTCTTAGATGTGAACTGTGTTAAACTTTTTCTCTTACTGTCTCTCTCTCTCTCTATCGATGTGTCTCATCTCATGTGAATGAGATACATTACATACGCATATGGACAAGGTAAGTTTATGCTGACCAGTCAATAATTTCTATGCATAACAATAACGATAAATAAAAGGTGTGCTCTTGTTCCTCCCCGATCTCTCCCCCCCCCCCCACATACACACATCGTATCAGCTCCCGAGATCAGAAATTGAAAGGATCCTCAAATGCACCCACAGATCGTCCATCGTTGATAGAAGAAATTCCCGATTTGTCGGAACAGACCACGCAATCGGATGCGATTAAAGATCCCGAAATGAACCGGCCGATCGATCCAGCTCTGGTTGAAGCACTTGATCAACTATCGGATCCGTTGATTCCTGTACGAGGACACGGTTTGATTGTTCTCAGTCGTCTGTTAGAATCCCGTGATCCGTGTATACGCGGTCATGAGGAACGTATCTTTCAGGTAAATTTTACTTTCATGCACTGTCAACTGAATGGTCATGTGTGTACATATGGTAGTGGTGGCGGTGGTCTGATGGTCAGCAATTTATCACCCCGTAGGACGTGTGTTCGAATCCCACCATTGACTGCTTCTGCCTTCCTGAAAATTGTTTCCATCAGTGTATTCAATTAAGAGAGGTAAAAGGTGAATTGCATCAGTGACACCATTACAACGGCTCACATTCACATTACGGTCGCTGGTGACCAGGCCGGATTCACAAATTCGGTGCTTGTGTANTCTAATGTGCGTCACATCCGATCCAATTGAAAGTAACCCCGAAAGGCGGATACTCCCAGAATGACCAAACGGTCATTTTGATCCGGTTCTTTTGAGTCACCGATCGCATTCCCCGATAAACCATATTCCGTGTCGTCTAAGGTTCCCAGTCTCTCTCCCATCCGTATCATCCATCGGATATATATATTTCACACTTGTCTGAGGACAGACTGTGTGCCAGGAAAATTATGGTACAATAACCCTTATGAAAAAAGAAAAACGTTCCACGATTTCCATGTGAGCTGAATACTGACAGGTTGCCCAGGCCAAGGCAGGTGAATTTTCTTAGGGAGTTCACAACCGGAACCTTCGGCTAGTCAAAGCCTGACCCGCAAGGCAGCGGGGCGGTATGCGAAAACCGCAATCCATTGGGGCCGGTGTCCAGTTCATCGGATCATACACCCGATGAACGGGGTCACACATCCGAGGTGCCCAATTGAGTCGGTGACCACTGCCGCGACAAAGAAGGTGTGCGTGTGGTTCGTAGGCCTCCTCTTGGTTGGTTTGGAATCAGGGTTTGTAGCCAACTCCCTAGGTGAACTACGAGTGGTTCATCAACCCGGTTATAGCCCCGGATGTCGGCTTTTCGTCCTCTCACTTTGATGGGAAAACACCTCTGCTACGAGAAGGCAGTGCGTAGGGCTTCCTCAGCAGACACCCACCCCCAACCATACTGAGGCTTTTGGAGGTATCCTGTACTCATGTATTAATCAGTGGTAGACAAGAGGAAAAGTCCTTGTTCTGTAAGTTATTAACTCAGGGGTACCTGGGAGAATGATCTCACCTGGTCCCAATATGCCTAGCATACATTTTTAAAAGTCGGGAGACCAGCTTTTTCGCATCGTGTCACAATCTGTTCCGACCTATCTCTTGTCAGGCGTCCTGAATATGCGTGCCCTTTACCCCGACGCGCTCGAGTCAAAAGTGCTGTCTCCTTCCTTTTTTCTAATTTTATTCCTCGTGCACACTTTCCCCATTCCATACTGCCCAGCATTTCGACAGGTGTCACAAATTTCCGCATAACCTTCTAACCCACACTGAGCGTCACTTCCATGTTGCCTTAGGTAAATATGTGTTTCTGCACCCTTTCGCCAAACCCGCTGTGTACACATCAATCATGTTGTATACGGACGAATCGTTCCTTNCGGATGTCGGCATTTCGTCCTCTCACTTTGATGGGAAAATACCTCTGCTACGAGAAGGCAGTGCGTAGGGCTTCCTCAGCAGAGGCTATTCGAGATGCTTGATCGTATGGGAGCATTTCTCGAGGTGCAACGGCGAAGTGACCAACTGCATCCCTAGACACCCACCCCCGACCATACTGAGGCTTTCGGAGGCTAGCTACACTCCTGGTTTCCGTAGTCGATGAATAAACAGGGTGGAAACTAACAACTCAATAAAACAAAAAACGTTAAAAAGCAGGTTTTTCGATGGCAATGAACAGCGTGTTGAAAATAAAAGCGGGATCATTTTATACTCAGCTACTTCTACGATACAGAGTTGAAACTAAAATTTGCACGTTTCGTGTAGTGCGTGTCACATCGTGGAGTCCTCTGATCTGATCCAAATTCCCAGTGAGCATTTGCGGCTAGAGCGACAGCAGTGGGCAGCATTGCCTTCTTTTGACCTCATCTAATAAGAACGGATCACTCATTGTAAAGACATTGTCAAAGTACGTTGAAGGATATCTAAGAGAGAGCAGTTTGTATTGGAAAATAAACCTCGAATCACTGGGTTCCGTGTAAGTTCAACTGTGAGGAACACACTTATACTTTGTTGCTGAATGCGAGCAACACATTAGACTCGCATTGTGTTGCGTGTCAAACAGACCATGATTGACTTGTCAATACAACCCCGTGTTACGGATTCTGTGCTCTCGAGCATGCTGCAGCTGGATGAATGTTTCGATCACCATCTTAGTACGGGAGAACCTTTCTTTTTCGAAATGATATTTTCATGACAAAGAACGTGAATTCATTGGGTGAAATAATGTCTAGATATCACGTGTACATGTAGTCTGCTTCCTGTACTTGGACTGGATACCTGGNTTGTGGAAATGTTCCGACTCGCGGTTCGTTCAATACATATTTGACAGTCCGCTTGTTGTGAGGTGCTACTCACATTTGCGATTAGCAGGTAACATAGTTGGTGATTCATTTCAACGATCAAAGATCAACAAGATCACCGAGGGCAAATTGCTGGGTCTCAAAATCGAGAGGGGCCG